ATTAATAGCACATGTAGATGTGCCCATTTCAATTAGGCTCAAGTGTTTGGGAACTAAATAAAACTTTTTTTTTTTTATGTCTTCAGAGTTATTAGAGGAAACCTGCTTTCTCAGATGCTTAGCTAGACCTATGCATAGCTTTAGAATAAGACACAGCTGAAGAACTAGTCCCACTGGGAATAAAAGCTATTCTGCACCATTCTGGTAGCATCAGCACCAGTAGTTCTAAAGCCCAGATGAATCAGGAGGGTTGGCATCAGGCATACAGCTGAAAAAATTTGTAAAAATCATCTGAATTCAGAACATAAAGAGTCAGAGCCCCCTGTGGGCATATCCAGACGAGCACGGATGTGCAGTATGTGATGCTGCAGACCCATCTGCAGTGCCACATGCCACACATATTGCATATGCAGGTGTTCCCTGTGCTTCTACTTTGCGGTGCAGGAGGGTGTGGGGTTTTGACCCCAGGAGATCCCGAGGTCAGAAAATTCTAAGCCTAAAAAAAGCTGGAAGTAGCAGCAGCGTGCACCACCTAAAACTGGAGCGTGGCCGGCCACAGCCACACTTCAGTTGCTGGCGTACCATGGCTGCAGCTTCCAGAAGCCCCCAGGATCCCCGGTAAGGCAGCTGGGGCCAGCACAGTTGCTAACCCCTGCCTTCTCTACCCACCTGGGGCAATGTGCTACATGCCAGAGCATGCATGGCACGGGCTTTCCCTGGGGACAAGCAGCAGTGTCACAAGGTGTGTTGCTGCTGCTTGTTCCCAGGGAAACACGTTCCTGCTTGTGGGGACATGCTCAGTGTGTCTAAATGACAATTACCCAGCTAATGACTATTAAATGCAAGGTGCAGTAGGCCAGCTTCAGGAGAAGTAATTGGCAATGCCTAACCCACTGCCTGGTGGTTAGGTAACTGTACAGATAAGAGAGACAGGCTCAAACACTCTCGAGGCTTTGGGGGCCTAAATCACAGATCTCCCACGTCCTAGTGCCTTAACCCTTAGGCTATCGAGATAAAAGGTAAAAGTGCTGCCACTGTCCTCCACCATGTAATAGGGTGTCCCTTTAAGAGGGAGCAGACAGCCTGTGGTATAGGCCCAGATACAGGCATTTAGCTATTCATGGAATACCTGCAGATAGTTAAAAACCCCAGAGAGCACTCAGGGAGGTAAAGAGATGGAGCAATCCATGAGCAGAGAGAAACTGAAAATCACAAAAGCCTGATGCCAGGAAGGAGCCAGAGAACACAAAGCAGAATCTGACACTGTGCTTAAATGCTAAAAACTGCAGTTGTGTGGGTGAAATTATGGCATTTAAGGGCATAAACTGAAATGTAATTTAGCTCTCTATCTTTGTTTTCATAAAGATGCCATTTTGCAAACTACGTTATTAATTCATGCATTTACCTAATTAATTTTTCAAAAAAATCATCAGCAATTCTAATTTTTATCTCTAATGTTTCACCATGTGTAATAAATGTAATGTAATGCCTGCTATAATAAGCCAAGAAAGAATTACATAGGTTTGGTAATTACATAGGTTTGGCCCTAAGGCCAAACTCTGTCAGATTCAAATCTTGTTCATGTCATTTGTAGCTGTGATTACACAAAATTTTGAGACGCAGTTACATGAAAGATCTCTAGCACTTGAATCTTCCCAGTCTCAAAACCTTTATGCAATATTTGGGTATAGAGATATTGATAAACAGGGCTAAAACTGTTTATTGGGTTCAAACCTTAGACCTACTTCAACAAACAAAATGTCCAGTCCTGCTATGAGTAAAGACAATGAATGTGTCTCATCACTTTCTTCAGCAGGTGAACAAAAGTGAATCCAGATATACAGAATTTCATTTTATAGCACTTCTGTGTTCAGAATATAAATGGACTCTCTTTAGGCTCCAGCTCTGTAAGTTTGAGGGGGAAAATCACAGTCATGTTACTTCAGCTGGATACATTAAAAGTATAAGAAAAAAATACAGAAATGTAGTTTATATATACCTTTCAAAAGATAACAACCTAAAAGTATAATCTAGTGTCTTTTTGTTCCTTCTACAGTATGATTCAGTAGCACCACCTACTGTTAATATAAGGTATTGGTTCAATTTAACAAAGGGTATATCTTAGAAAATGACTGGCTAAAAAACATTGCTCAGAAAAGAAAGAGACTTGAACTCCTAAGTTAGTCTTAAGTGATTTGGAAGATTTTACTCTAAATACACCATGCTGGAAAAATATATGAGTATACTATTATATATTCAGCACCTAATGCTATATTATGCTAGAGGCACAGATTTCAAGGGGAGATATATTTTATTGGACTGGCTGTATAGTCAGGAAAGATCTCACAAAAAAAATTTCCCTGGTCTTCATAGTAGGAAGAAATATATTCCCAATGAATCTAAGTTCAAGTGTGTAAGATCCCTCTTAGAGCTCAGGGCTGTTTAACCATCTTGTGCATCTTTACATGTGCTCTGGGGATAGGGGGTGGGTAGGGAGCTTTAATTAGAGCAGCTCTCAGGAGCTGCTCTAATTAAAGTAACCACAGCATCTCATGTATTCAGTGTCCTGTGCTTCAGAATGGTGGTGAGGGCACTTTAACTAAAGCTTGTAGGGATGCTGAATACACGAAATGCCAAGGCTGCTGCAGTGTGGTAATTAGCTGCTAATAAGCACACACACTGTAATCACAGCAAGTCAGAGCAGACATCCTATACATCTACAGGCACCCCTTGAGACCAGGGTTGGTGAAATGGGGGAGAAAAGAAAAAGAATTATTTACAAATATCACTTTTGTAGCTATGTTTAGTTAACCAGCCTCTAACCTGATGACCCCTGTTTTCCTATCAAAAGAACCACTTTCATGATGGAACAATATTTAAAGAGAATGAAGATGATCACCTCAAACTCTGACTTATCTTCAAAGTGAGTTGGAGGGGGCTTATAATTTTTAATCTCATCTCTAGAATAACTTCCCCAATGACTTAGTTTGGATACAGAAAGACTAGGGAGAAGATTTGACCAAATCAAATATATATCCAGTTGGGTAGATGAAAATCATGAAAGGGTGTCAGATCTCATGAAAAATCTATTCAGAATTCTAAAACTGCTAAGCAGGAGTACAAGGATGGGAAGAAAGTTTAAGCTCACAGTCTCAGCTGCAGTTTTCCCAATTTCTGAACTCGGAAGCAGTTACTGAAGAATTTCAGGGTCAAAGTGGATGGCTGAGAAGATGGTGTAAAAGAGAAGAGGGGTATGAGGTTAAAACTAGTTGGATACCATGGCATATTTGTATGGAAGCGAGAGTGTTTACTGAGTTTGGACGCTACCTTAGTTCAGTGGAGCAAGGCTTCTAAGACATAAAACTACTGAGAATGAGTAGTACTAAATGAGGAGGTAGGCAGACTGGGAAGTTCCAAGGAGCACTCGCATTAAAGGAAGGCACTTGTGGGGGACGTTAGAGATACTGATGTCTCTGCCTTCAGTAAAGAATAGGGCAGAATATAGCTGATTTGGAGCATAGAAAAGTTAACCAGTGATTTTGATGGCATTTGTAGATGACACTTTGAAGCAGGTTAAATGCCTTTTACACTGCTTTAATGGCACTGCTGTTTGCACATTTGGTGGCATTATGGCGTGTTAATTCCAGCTGCTGTAGCACATTTGTGGCATAACACACCTTAAACGACTTTGGGATGCATCAAATGTTTTTGGGGTGCTGCAAAGTAAAACACCTCCGAGGAGCTTTAGTTTCGTACCCTAAAGCCGCAGAGGGAAGCACTGGGCTCCATGTGGCTCATGGGCTGTGTAGGCAGCCCAGGAAGGCAGGCTCCACAGAAGGAAAAAAAAAAAA